TTTTCCAGACTGTCTAGAAAGTTATGCAAAAAGTTTCATCCTTAGAAAACACAAGTCTTTGCCGTACGATCAAAAGAAAAATGTCCACATAGTAGTAACCAACATCGTTCTGGCGTTCCTAAAAAAACACTGCATTGCTTAATAGCAAATAATCACAGTAGTGCAATCCGACCATGCTACGTTTCACAATTATTATTATTACTTGGTAGTGATTATTAATATAGTACAAAAAGTAAACTCGTTGAATTGTTCTGAAATGCAGGTAAATTTCAATTTAGTTTCATCGATTCTGGTCGCATGCAAATGCTCGACACCTTATAGGTCAAATCGCTAATTAGCCAGTCAAAATACTCGGTGATGCCAACATGTTCAAATTACCAAAACGGAGGAGATTTGCCGATGTTCCAGCTCGATCTTTTATCTATGGTTTTGATGGGAAGACGGCACGTTTTTGTTTTTTGAAATCAAAACATTAGTTGTTTTTGATGATAAACTGACCATTTGAAGACTATTTTTACGATGATAACAGCTCATTTTCGAATCAAAGCTTTACCTATTCACGCTAACCACAATAAACGTCGTACTCTTGAATAGGCGTCAATGACTACGGCTGAAATTTAAACCACGCGAATGATTTCTACTTCTACATTTAATTTATTGCAATGGATATCAGAAAGCCGGTAACCTAATGTTATTGACATTGTTTACTGTCTTACATCGTCATGTCCCAGTGTTACCGATGGTTAGACCATGGAGGTGGTTAGACATAGACAAACTACGTAACGATAATGCTGTTTGTAAACCAACAAGCTTTGTAGATTGAATAAACATCTAGAAGATTTACATTTTCGTTTACTCAAACTGTGATTGACAGGAATTTTGCATACATTGGCCACCATTTTAAACTCGTGATTTTCACTGGTCGCGGCACGTTTCGACCGAAAATAACAACATTTATACATCAAAAGCCCAACCAGACGAGTGTAATCGCTAGCGTACATATTCATGCCCCCGTGGATATGTATTTGGAACCACAGCAAACCACAGTAAATGGCATATTTCACGGAGCTCCCGCCACGATGTCAGCTGCTTGGTTCGGATTAACATACTAATACGGTGGCCATCTTGACCCTTATTTATAGTATCGGTTCCCCTTTAACCATAGACCTTATGTTTAACGAATGGTTTTACCGATAACGATTTTATATATTTGTCGTCATGCTGGCAGTAAAAATATGGGTATGGTAATGCACTTTTCTAGGCCACATGTTCATTTTTAATCGTGTTGAAAAAACTTGTAACTTTTTGTTTGGTGGTGTTATCACCTCACGGTGACCTGCTACGATAACAAACCGGAATTTTCACAGTTGCACCTTAAAACAATGAACCAGTTACCCTGAGCACGATGAATCATCTTCGGAAGACAATGAGTGTTGACCTGTTTTGTAAACAATTCTTTGTCTGGGACCATGCAAGGGCGCACAGGAAATATAACAGGGCGCTGACAATTTTAACAGGGCGCCATTTTCAGATAACAGGGTGCGGCGCCCTGTAAAAAACCCTCGTGGAGAACCCTGCTTTTCATAGGCAGAGAGTAAGGCATGTATATCCTGTGTAAAAAAATGCTGTCATGATAGCCCGCTCGTTTTTAGAGAACCGATTACACTGTTGGAGCTGTTTAAGTTATATTTTAATTGAGATTAGGACTTTCCTCCTCGCCAGTTATTAAGCATGCAGTTATGGCAATGTATATGTTTTCAGAAAGCTGAGATATAGCAGAATACGATCATGTATGTTTCATCTTAATATTTGCTGGGGGATTGAGTTATGATCATGTTCACCCACAACTAGATTTTGGGGGAATAAACTGAAATTACGCATCAAAAGCATCGCGTACAGTAAATTTGAACCAAAGATAAAGAAAGTACACAATATAATGTTACAATTCAAAATATTTTTTGAAACATGTCAGACAAGTTTAAGCAAGCCAGACATAACTGCTCACCTGCAGTATCTGATCCCTACCCACCCAGTCTAAGGAGTAAATTGATAAGTCTAAGATGTATTTTATCAGTAGAACACAATAATTATGATTACCGGTATTATACATCTGTCACTGTAATGCCATAAGTTACAGCGTGGTATTTTCATCTTACCATATTAATTAAGAAATGCGAGTTCCAAATATGAAACATTTACACATGTAAGCGTCCTCAAATAATAACAAACGTGGCTGCCACCGTGGTTTGATCAGACCCCACACAAAGAAGTTTCACTAAATCTGTTCCACACCTTTTGGATTTCAGCAATCCCATGATGTAGGAAAAGATGTATAATAATTAGGTTATTACGAGGATGCCGAAAAGTATGCCCTCAGAGAGTACGCCGTCGCATCGTCCTTCGCTGCACGACAGTCGATACTCCCAATTTACTGTCTTCGTGCATACTTTTCGTTATCCTCGTAATAACATCATACAACTGTGTAGTACATGTATTATTAAAAAGTCGCAACATTGTTTCACATTCCAAAGAAAACACTGAAAATTCTGCACACATGCTTCATCTTTTATTAGATCGCATTTCAGACGAATATGCATAAAATAATTGCATCTAATTTTCTGTAAAAAAAAAAAATGTACATCTTGGGATACATTTGAAAAGCCGTTGCTCAAAATTTTGGCAATTCGGAAAACATTTTGTTCAAAATTGATAAGTACATCATTTCGTTTTACGGATCTGATTCAAAATACATGTAGCCGTCTGGTAGCCATATACCGGTAGTTTTCAAAAACCTTATCTGACATGCCTATACTGATTAATTTCACACTTGCTAGGTACATGTATTTAATTACATAATCTAGACAGCATAAATGACGCTTGTGCAAATAAAATTTCATTATATTATTTAATTTCCCAGTGGGCACTGAGTCATGACAGTGACTTGTTTTATTTATGCTGGTTCAGAGGAAAAGGTCTTCACAAAAAATACTATAGTCTGCTCAGAGTGTAACTATAATTAGTCATGAATGAAACAAGTTCTCAGTGTAAGGCACCGTATTTGCTTTATTAGAACTGTATGAAATAAATGCAGTTTGTCTGTCTATTCACACTTATATTAGAAATGCACTTGTAATAGAACAAATATTGTAATCCATGTGAAATGTAATAATTCTCGTGAATATTCATATATTTTGAAATGTGTTTTTTTACAGCATGAAAAACAAAATGGAAATATTGAGAAGACAAATGGGTATACACCTCTCAAGACGATATTAGAACCGTCACTTTTACAGAAAAGAATAGGTAAATACATGTATATTAATATACGATAATCAACGATTGCTGCATTCAAATTCGAACGATAAACACTGCCTTCTATGCTGCGAAGTTTGCTTTGGTTTTTAATCGGTGACTTCATCAGAGATGGAATGTGTCTCACCTAGCATATTAAAGACTAATTTTTGTCAGATTTTAAAATGTTTTTCAATTTCAGTGCCATTCTGATGAAATACTTGAAAAACCTATGACCAACAGATGTATGGCAAGTTTTGCACAAATTCACGATTCACGTTTTCACAGAAATATATTTGGTAGTGGTACTTTAAAATACTCAAATTTAGCGTTTCATCATCCAACTATAGAAAAAATATTCATCTTACAATCACTAAAGATTTGCTTTATATGGAACTCAGAAATACCCTGATTTGTTATGCCACGACCCTAGAAAATGTCTGAAATTGTCTGCCCGTGAGTATCAAATAAAAAATTGGGATCAACAGCTCAAGTTCGGGGTGCGGTTTCCATTACGTACATATTGCAATCACTAAATGGGCGTGGTCATTTTTCCCACATCACTTGCACAAAACAAACAATACACCGTACAATCTTTGAATATAAGCGTAACTCCAATTTAGATGTCAGGAAAGAGTGATAAGCGTCACGTCACGTCAAAAAAAAACTGTTCACATGAAAAAAAATACTTAATATGCATTTATTTATTTTTAATTTTCTTTGTAACGGAAAGTATATTCTGACAGGAGTTTCAAATAAAAACAAGCACTAAAAAAGTACGGTACCGTAGGTACGGTAACGCAATCCGGCCATGCTTCAGCCCACAAGTGAATAACTTACTTGTTTTCGAAGTGTTGAAATTGTTGATTATTACTCAGTAGTGATTATAATAACGCACGAAAAATAAATTTGTTGAATTGTTATCAAATGCAAGTAAAATTCAACTTAGTTTCACTGTAAGCGAATTATTTCGGTCACATGTAAACGATTGATGCACTACGACATCCGCCATGTAGTTTGGATGCACACGAGACGTTACTTGACCAAATAGGTCAAGTCGCTAATTAACCAATCAAAATGCTGGATGGTGCCCACGTGTTCAAATTACCTTGGTTCATTTAAATATGTTAATGACAGGTCATCGACTTCATGGTGAACGAAACCCGGAAGAGATTTACCGATAATGTTGTGTGATCTTTTGGCTTTGATTTCCATGGAAAAACGACATGACTTTTTTATTAAGTTTATTTAATTTTATTAAATTAAGAAATTAGTTGTTTTCGAAAGATAAACTGAGCATTGAAAAAGCATTTAACAGTTTTTCGGTGATAACAGCTCATTGTCGAAAACTTTCAACACATGGACGTATTCATAAGGAGTATTGACAAAAGTTGTGGCAAGAACAAAAGCAGTTTCACTGCATGTTTGACATCCTAACACTACTGAACAATAAAGAGGTGTGAATATTTTTAGGCACGTTGTTGAAACAAATGAATAGAATTAGGAACAATATACCAGCTGGTTGAAACAATGTCAGTCACGGTCTTGTTGAATTGGGGGTGCGGTTAGTAATAGGTACTTTTCATGTTTTCAATTTTTGTTGAGAACTCTTTAACACTGAAGCCGAAATCGGGGGTGCGGTTACTATTAGGTATGTGGTTTATAATAGGATTTTAACGGTAACAAAAATGAGATAATTGCTCAGTTAAAAACGCACATATTAATTATAATACACACTTTGCGAATAAACAAAGACACTACCAAAAAATGGTCTGAGATAAACACAATTCAGTTCCTTCACAGGCTCACAAATAGTTATTAGGATTTAGTTATTAGTTTTCTCTTGCAATTTATTTTAACCGTGTATTGCATTATCAAATTCTTCAATACATGTCTGATTTTCATCTGATATTACACACTTGCATACTCTAATCTTGTAAATCTATAATGATATGCAAATGCTGGTGGATGCAAAGACACTGGGATATATAATGTTCAATTTATCCAATGCAGGCATGAGCTCCTCCCATTATGCCATGCTGTTACTGGTGTCAGAGGAGTTTTTTATGTAAATTACCCCATTACTAACTATGCCCATAGGGCAATACGCACTGTGCTGCGATGACCTTAATATATTACAATAACTGATTTAAGGAGATTCCGACTGAATTACACATTCAACAGTCTCTACATACTTAAAATGAAATTGAGAAACTACGTGTAGTCTAAATTTGTCTGGAAAATAGCAGCATTCTCATTATATTTTAGTTATATCTGTATATCACTGAGAAATACTTTATTGTCGCTTGGAATTAATTTTCGTTGAAGTAATGATTCAGTGAAAATAAAATCCAGAGAATATACCTTTAAAAAAATTTACATTCAACTCGCCAAAAATCTGTGAAAATAAATTCCATACAAAACACTCAAAAAGTATTTTCAGCGAAAATTTATTCCAGCTAAAATAAAGTAGTTCACAATATTATGGTTGTATCCATGGTGAAATTAATTGCTTGCTAGGTCAGTCTTGCTGAAAAGGTGCGATTAGTCAAAGATATGTTGTCACCGATATATATGAACCAAAATACCTGTATATATTCTAATTGAGCAAATATAAATCTCAAAATTGTATATGACTTATTTTGATCGTAGAAACATATCTATCATTTACATGTATGTAAGCAGGTGCATTACAAATTTTCATCATTCCAGTTTAGTAAGATTCAATGAAGTAATATTTTAATCTGTCTTTGTTGTGAAAAATATTTTAGTAATTTTTGTCTCCAATTATTTTGTTTTATTGTTTGACAGAAAAACAAAGAGAGCTGACTCGGAAATCGCAGCAGTCAAGTACTATAATAGTCGTAGACCAGCAACCTAAAAAATCCATTCTTCCACGGAATAGGTTACCAGTACCGAGTAAAATAACTTCCATGGAGTACAAACCAGATGAACAACCACTTGTGTCACTCGACAGCGATAGGTAAATGCACAGAAACATAAATACTTATTTCTTGTACATGTCTAGCCAGATCATTAATTTGTATTTGAAATCCAAGATGGCAGCCATTCACAAGAGGGGTTTCCCATTCATGGTAGAAGGAGCCAACTGTTAGCCAGGTTTCCTGATTGGTGGAATCTCTGATGGCACAAAATAGATAACAGAATTCTCAAATGCAACTGTGTTAACTGTGTCAGATATCAATAACCTTATTTTGCAACAAAATCAAAGATGGGGCACTGCCAAATTGCCAACTTGAATAACATGCAGGTCATATCACAGACACCTGCGACTTCCAAACTGTTCAACAATATATTGGCCTAAAAACATCGCCAAAGAATAAAATAATTTAGCCTGACTATGATTCCTCGCATCCCAAGAAAAATAGAAACTTTCGGAGACAACTTTGTTCAGTTTACCATAACTATTTTTTTAAGATGGGACACACGGCTGATGATCAAAATTGCTGGTGGTTTGAATTCTGTACAGTTATTGCTTTGATCGCTTATACATGTATTGCTAAATGTGTAGCAGTATGCTATGCTATTATTTTTTTTATTTTTTATACTTTTCTTTTCTCACTAGTGATGATGAATTTGATATATCAAAATTACCAAGTCAGGTAAGTGATATAATTTGTATTCTTCACAACCACAACATGATTAACCCCAGTAGGTCAATAATATCTATTTGCATTCAGCAGTCATATTGCCCCCAGTTTATAGGTCAATAGTACTCATTTCCAATCTGCTTGACCCCCGTTCATAGGTCATTGGCACTCACTGCCAATCTGCCTGACCCCAGTTCATAGGTCAGTAGTACTCTCTGCCAATTTGCTTGACCCCAGTTCATAGGTCAGTAGTACTCACTGCCAATTTGCTTGACCCGTTCTAGGTCATTGGCACTCACTGCCAATCTGCTTGGCCCCAGTTCATAGGTCAGTAGTACCGTTAAAGTCCTAATATAAACCGCATACGTAATAGTAACTGCACCTCCAATTTCGGCTTGGGGGTTGAAGAGTTCTTAACAAAAATTGAAAACTTGAAAAGTACATATTACTAACCGCACCCCCAATTCAACAAGACTGTGACTAACTTCATTGTTTCAACCAGCTGGTCCAAAATGGCATTGTTCCTAAATCTATTCATTTGTTTCGACAACGTGCCTAAAAATAGTCACACCTATTTACTGTTCAGCGGTGATAGGATGTCAGACACGCAATGAAACTGCTTTTGTTCTGGCGGCAACCTCTGTCTATACTCTTTCTGAATACGTCTGTGTTTCGTAAGTTTTCGACAATGAGCTGTTATCACCATAAAAGTGTTAAATTATTCTTCAATGCTCAGTTTATCTTTCGAAAACAAATAATTTCTTGATTTAAAAAAAAAATCATGCCGTTTTCTCTTCCGTGTTCACCATGAGGTCCCTGAACTTTCATTAACATATTTAAATAAGCTATGTAATTTAGACACGTGGGCACCATCCAGCATTTTGATTGGTTAATTAGCGACATGATCTATTCGGTCAATAAAACGTCACGTGTGCATTCAAAAACATGG